TTGGGTCTACTGTCATCTTTAATAGCAGCAAAACAATAAAACCACAGTTTGCGTTGAAGGTGGTTCCTGAGAGTCCTCCCTAGGATGAGTCTGTGACCCCCGAGGATAGCCCAAGGGACGCTGTTGGGTCCAAAAATTGGCTTGAATTGGAATTATTAAGGTCTCAAAACCGATTTAGCTGACACACACACACCCAAGGTGGACGAGTTTTCACGGCGTTGTAGAGGCTTCAGAGATTGCACCATTCGCACCGGGGCGCACACATTGCACGCTGGCCGTTTACTGTAGCTAGCTATACGCAGTGGCACACATATGGATAACTCGTCCAAATACCTCTTCCATGCGGGGGACGGTACGAACGTGCGTCCAAGTGTGCGCGCGGCAAGTTGCGCGGCGATGTTCGTGAGGATTTGTACGACCACGGCGCCAATTTCCGGGGCACAAACTCGAAGTAGTGTAGTTTATTAGGGTCAGATGATCCTCCTAGTCCACTCTATTTCAAATTCGGGCCCCAATGATAAACGCCAAAGTCGTTCAAATCATTACGAACTTCGCCGCGCNATTTGCCGCGCGCATCCTCGGACGCACGTTCGTACACATACCCCTTCCATGCAACTTGCAGGATGGAATATTCGGGCGTCCGGAGATGCGCGCGGCAAACTGCGCGAGAAAATTTGTGGTGATTTGAACGAATTTAGCGCCTATCATTGGGGCCCAAATTTAAAGTAGGGTACCCTAGGGGATCAGGTGATCCTATTACTCTTCTTTACTTTTAATCTGTGGCCCAATGATAGGCGCCAGAGTCGCCAAAATCGCCATGAATCGCCATCCCGGAAAGGCAAATGTAGTCCTACCCCTGCAACTTTTGCCGTCACTTGCTATTCCAGCCCTAACCTTGTTACTTTTTAGACCTTTTTTTAGGCCAACTCTCTATTTGCACGTTTTCCTCGCCACTTTTGCACTATTCCGGAATTCCACCGAATTGTCAATCGGTGTAATCTCTTGCTGCTATCCTACGCTCCGCCCAGAACATGTCGGGCTTCTGTCAGGTGGGAATGAGGGGTGTGGCGATCCGCTTTTGCGTCCTCATCATGCTATTTGTGAGCTCCCAGTTGGGTGTGAGCTGCTGCTATTTTTTGATTGCACACACTCCGGCAAAAAGCGGCTGCCACCACCTTTCGCCAACAATTTAGCCGTGGGCCTTTCAGGCGACACTCAAGCCATTGTAGTGCCCGATGAAAGGCGATTCACTGCTTCACATTACATGCTCTCCCCAGCCAGAGGGAAATATTTATGAAAACTGCTAGTTGAGAGTTTATGTTAACGCTCGTTGTGGGAGCTTTTTAACCGTCGAAGGATCTGGGAAGAATAACTGGAAACTGCCAGAATTCTGCCTGCTTAAGCCAAGTGAGCAATGGCCAAATGCCATCCTCGTCTTGTCTCAGTTTACAAGATCTCAGCAGCAGCAGCAGCAGGAGCGTCGTCGTCATGGCCGTCGTAATCGTCGCTGTTGAAGTCACCCCTCCGGCTCCGCCCCGACAGCAGCCACTGCAAATCGAGTTCGAAGTTTTCTCGAGCTCGACAACTCGTCAATGGCTTGCGTTTTCGTTCGCTCAGCTAACAACACCCTCACTGGCACTTTTTCTGAACTGGAACGACGCCACTCAGTGAACATTTCTTTCTCTTTCACTCTTTTTTTTTTTGATGGCCTTACTGAGGGGACCCATATGGCCGAGGCTATTTGCTCATTGGCGGCGCTCAACTCTCGCTCGTTGTTTTTACTGGCCGATCTCGAATCTATTCCGGCGTTTATCACTTTATTGTTGCTTTGTGCAGCCACCAGCAGCCACTTTGCTTGGTCTGGGAGAGCTTTTCGCCGGGAGAAAGCTTCTGCTGCTCGCATCGTTCTTTGACTGACTGCGGATGGCGTGAATAATGCATTGAGAAGAGAACCCTGAGGGCAGCAACATTTGGGTGGGAGCAACTGCAGAACCGCAGTTATACGCCCAAGGGTGATAGAACACTGGGTGGGAAAGCAGGACTGAACTTTGTGGATCAAAAATTTCGTTTTTCTGCAATTCTCCACTTCTCTTTAAACTGCTATGACCTCGTCCGTTTCGTGTTGGACTGCTCAATCCGATCCTTTCCCCCCTCTTCTATGAGGAATATAAGGTAGAATGATTATTTGTAACTCCCATCTAGGAGATTATCTCGTCACATCCGTCTCACATCGTTGTGCTGGATAAACAAGCAAATAATATTATCAATAGCAACACAGAGAGGGAGACGCTCATCGTTTATTGCCGTTCCCCTTCTCTGTCAAGGCAATACTCCCAATGCTAATTGTCTTTACCAATGGTAAATGTGATAGAGACCATGTAATCAATTTCGTCTGTGGATGCGCCCTGCATTCGACTTTCATTCAGAATCGTAGTGGTGTAATGAATGCGTATAATACCTATACAATGAATTGCAGTGGCCAGCCGATGTACAAGTCAGTGCTTTTATCCTCCCAGACACGTCTGGTACCAATTGACCGACCCGGGAGGGATGGAAGGCTTGGTTGGCATAGGCGGATATCGATCCTTATCCTTATTCCTCGTATAGTAGTGAGTATCCGCGGCTGTCAGTAACCACAACAGTAAAAGGCAAACAGTTTCTGAATTCGTGAGGGCATTAATCGGACCTATTGACCACTTCTTGTTTCCGTTCAGAACTGTAGAGATATCTAATCAAATATTGTTCCAGTACACATTGGGAGCCATCGATATGGGAGTCACAGCCATTTTACAGGAGTGTGGCCAATCCTTCGGGGGTAGAAAGTTTGATTGCTCTGGGTGTTCATCGAAACGTCGACCCTAAATGTGATAGAATTGGTGGTAATGGAGTACTGCGGTCCCAACGAAGCATTCCTTTTTTGGCACTATTCTGATCGCTTGATATTCACCGGGAGTACTCCGCCCATGGAGACCATTCCGCTTCTCGTTTCGATTCAAAGAAGAACAGGGTCTCTAAGGCGAATTGAAGTCACGGTTTAAAGCCTTTTTAGAATATTTATGTGGAATTTACAAACTAATGAAGCCCCTTTCATTTGAAGCAAATAGTGTAAAGTATACTGCAATTTTTTTGTTGTAATTTGAAACCTCAGTCATTTGATCGATGGCCTTCTTGTCATTTCCTCTTTTCCTCCCTGTCTTTCCCTTGTCCTCTTCCTTCTCTTGGTTATATTTAGCATACTTTCTACACCAAAGATGTGAGAATTCCAATTAACAGTTTTAGGAGGATATCAGTGATCGTTGTAGAGCCTCAAGGGAGCTCCTGGATTTGGCTTCTCAAACGATGAACATGGGGAGGCTACCATTCGACATCGTTTGGAAGCGATTCTGACAAAAATTCAAGTTGAGAAGAAACCTTAGACTTTAATGGGCCCCTCGTTGATGGGGCCTCGGGTTGCTCCTAGCCGGGCCATTCAGCTTCCAATATTCGGTTCTAGCAATACCGACCGAACCCAGTCGATTTATATCTGGGAACTTCAGGTGTCCTTTCTTTTCATTGTTCTTGTTCTGCCATATCGACATAGCCACTTTCTTTTCGCGTGGTCACTTCCTTCTCTGCTGTCTTTCTAGTAAACTTTCCCTAAAAGGGGTAAATTCTATACTCCGGATTCTCCCGGAAGAACTTCGGAACTTCTCTTCCCTACACGAAACGTCCCTGTAATGACCTGGAAAACCTGATGGAAAAGTGGTTATTCAATGGCAATTATGTCCCTAATCCTCCAGGGCCCACAACTTACTCATCCTCAGCAATTACCCCTTAACTCTCCCTTCACGGGGTTCATCATTTGCCACAACATGATGACAGTGGCTAGCTGCAGGAACCCCAACCTCAACTACGTTTCATTTCGGTCCCCCTTCCTCACTCATCCTTTTTCCCTGTTTTAATTTAATTCATTCCAACTTCCACGTTTTTCGGGTATTTTCCACCCCATTCGTTCCCACAATCCAATTTGCCACCTCCTCTTTCCTCAGCTTTCCTACATGTTTTTCTAATGTGTTCCTTGGGTTTTCTGGAAAGCGGCGATGGCTTCCCCTCTTCTGAAATCCTCTTATACGGCTGCCTCACACACAGTCGTCTTCATGCGTGGGAATCGTCATCGATGTGGAACGCCTCCTCTCCCACTTTTCATCACCCAACGTCTTTCAAACAGCCTATGAGCTCGCTCTTTTCAAAAGGTCTTCGAACTCAATTGCCCCCCGCTCTTCATCCTTATTCTTCTGGTGATGACGTGAGCAGCAAACGCGCCCACAGCGCCTCTCCCTCTCATGCGCAGCCCCTTGGGCATAGACTTGAGCTTCCAGGATTTGCAGATTTTATTTGATTTTTTCATCTCCCTTTCACAAAATGATGAGAGTTCTTGTCAGATGCTCAGAGGACGGGCTTGAAACAGTTTTTGTTCTTATCTACAACGAATTTTTTCTATCCCACAGATGAGACAAAGTGTGGGGAACTCTGGGTCGGCATCCTTCTCACCATAAACTTACCCGTTGGAATCCTTTACTATTTACTCGATTAGACCCTGTAAAGTCGTCATCGTATCCCAAAAAAGGCCCTAAGCGCGTCAACTACGTCAAGACTATGGCCAAGTGCAGGGTCCGGGGATTGCGTTCATCAAGGTGAGCCAGTGGGATACGAAGAAGTGCTGGAAGCAATCGGAACGATGGCGCTGAGATGTGGGCAAGTTGCCAACGAATCTTCAGTTTACATGTCACCACTGCTATTAGGGGGTCTCCGTAGCATTACCAGAAGCCGAGGTTCGAAGGGTTGGGTGAATTTGAAAGAATTATCGGATTTTAGGCTTTTTGTGTGAATATCAGCCTTGCAGGGTTTCGAAGGGATTCGCCTATCGTTCTGTTTAGAATAGGAAGTATTTCTTCTGGGTTTTTTCGGATTTGGGAAGGTGTGCCAATGACGTCGTCGTGTGGGACTTGTTCTCAGAATCTTCAAGGTTCAGGGGGATTAGCAGCGACGTTTCTTTGTTTTGTTCCCGGTGCCTTCAGTGTTGAAAAGAGTTTAGACGTCTGTTGCTCGGAGGTGGTGACTTCCAGCTTCTCAACTATGTCTTTCTCATCTATAGGCAGATTTGGTGTGATTACGATTCCGTTACGGCATTTCACGATTTCCTTGGGGTAGCTGGTTCTCAGTGCTGGAAGGTAGTTCAGTTCAAGCTGCACGTAGTCTTTTGGACTACGTGCAGCGTTTCCTTGGACGATGTGGGGGGATTTCTGGGAAAAAGGGCATTGTCCCATTAAGCTCTAAGTACGTAATATACATAATTCAGTAATACGCAGGTGATAGTGCATGTACTTGCAATCCAAGAAGTTTACGGGGTTCTCAAGCCGATTTCAGAATCCACAGTTCCCCGAATGTTCTTGAAGACCCACTATCCTTGAAAGTGGGAATTGGAGTGTTCCGTGAAAGATTTTTCAGAGCAGCAATATGCCAAATAAGTAAAAAAATAGGTAAAATCCCTATGACGTCATTACTGCTTTAGTATAGTTCTACTGCTTGTCTTGGAGCGATAGAAACCTGAGGCGGTCCGTTGAACTTTCTCCTCGTACGTTTTCTTTACTCATTTCTTGTCTGAGCGGTGTCGTTGTTGAGGTTCCTGGAAACACCCATCAATCTAGCACTTTTTCCTTTCAATAGGCGATCACTAGACGTCCGGGGATGCACGTTGGGATCCCTGGGGTAGGTTGTGTCATCCTAAATGTCGTCCCCACACTCGTGTGCTGAGAAAGGTGGATTAATATCAATTTATAAATCATATATGAACTCGATATCCTGTTTTACACCTCAGTGGCACAGTTCAGATAAAAATGGCTCATGAGATACCCAGCTAGTTAAACCCGTCGCCCCTTTGTATACCATATGTGGCGTTGTCAGGCCGGGAAGCGGCCCAGATAGGGCGCTATAATGGCTCGAAGATTGTCCCCTGTGCCCGGACGAGTTTCGGCGGCACTGTACAGGGTGGGCCAAAATTATGATTACACAGAAATCACATCGCAGAAAACGAATAGAAAGCCAATAGAGCAAA